GCAACGTTGTAAATGCACGCCAGTTGCCAAGCACCCAAATTGTGATCACATGACTGTGGGGATGCTGTGATGGCCGCAAGTTCGAGGACTGGTTGTAACTCTCCTTTTTCAGCACTGTTGTAACTTTGAATGGTCATTGAATAAGCAGTTGGTGAGGACTACCTGTACAAATGTTAGATTTTAGTTATTTTAGATTGTTGACTACTTTAGGTGCCTTGTGGGTAAAAAGACGAAGTGTAGATTGAATAAATGGAACTTTCTATTCTGGTTCTCCATCATAAGGGACAGACTGGCACTTCAATATTCTGTGAACAGTATTGTGAAGTTGGGTGTTAGTGAACTCAGTAGGAAAAAATGTTGGAAGAGTTGCGCAAATCATCCTTTTGGGGAAGGTGCCCTGGTTCCATTACCCCTGGTTTTTCTGGTTCCATATAGGACACCTGGTTTGTTGCATATATGTTATTTTTATGCCTAATCTCTGTTGGAATCTTTCAGCAGCCTTGGCTATAAAAACAGAGAATGTATCTCAGCTAGCAGCCCTTGACTTAGGTATATCTTTTTATCTACTATGCACCAAAGCAGTATTGGGGGTGCTACCCTTGTTTGTTTGTTAGACAAGAATCTGGAATGTTGCACATCTTGTCTTATGCATATTTGGTAATATGCTTTTCTGTTATATCATTGAAATAATTGAGGAATTAACTATGTGTAAATCTGCAGAGGTTTAAGAACTGGGTGTTAGTATTTTGAGCAGGTAAACAGCTGTAGAAGCTAATTCTCAAAACCGTGTTAATTAATTACAAAAGTAGAAATTGAGTATTCTAACACATTTCTAAACTATTTCCCTGTCTGCAGACTTTCTTTAGACCATTGTGTTCCATAGTATATTTGTAGATTGAAAATTCAGTCAGAACAAAAACCATATTAAAAGATGCATTGCCTTGCTTTTTAATATGTTGCCTAAGTTACTGGTGAAGTAAATACCCAGAGAGAATGTATGTGATTCAACTAATGGTGAAAAATACTATTATTAGGCATGGTAAAAACAAGAATGAGCAACTTGCTAATATTGTAGTGAATAATTTTAAATTAACAAGAGATCTGTGCTGTTTTTGAAGGGCAAATTTGGTTTGGAGTGTGTGTGGGTGTGCACAGAGCACTTGTCTGGAGTATCTCAAACCAGACATGTCTTTCTCCGAGGTCATGTGACAGTTGCAGAAGGAGCTGTGCAAAGCCAGCTGCTGCTTGAAGATCCCCCTGATGGGTGTGTCCACCTGTGCTCCAATCACATTTGGCCCTCCCTTTTCTTCTGTACAAACTTAATATAAATGTTTCACTTAAGAGTCTTGTGGGTAAATACAATTTGGTCATGTTCTCTAGCTGAAGCATGGAAATTTGATAACACCAGCGAAAATGCTTTTGCAAATTGGCTTCTTCAGTCAAATCTCACTTGGAAAGCTGAGGAGAAGCCCACAGACAGCTGTCAGAGTGAGTTGATGCATGTCCTACCACAGAGGTAGATAACTCATGTGCAGGATGTGACTCCCAGGAGCCCATATGCAGCTGCTCAAGTCTGCCACAGCTGGTGGGCTGACGCTTTCTGAGTTTTTTGTTTTTGGAGGTTAGGGAAACTTAAGCCATTGGGTCCTCCTTCAAAAATTGGGATGATTTTTCTTATTTTAAGGCAGGGTTTCATGGATAACTAGCCTCAGTCTAATGCCTTCTTAAGACCCTTCCCCAGAGGCAAAGAATGGTTTGAGAACTTCAGCTCTGTGCATTCTGGCAAGGCAGGAAGATTCAAGATGCGCCCCCAGGCTGAAAGGGTTGCTATCAACCTTGTAAGTTGCTTTATTTTACACTTCCTTATTTTGAATCTGACCAGTGCTGGATTGGGCCACTGGGGCAAAAGAAGATTGGGAACATTCTGGAAACTGAAATACCTGTTTCCAGGTGGGAAAATTTTGTACAGAATTAAAGTCCGCTTCTGTGAAAGAAGAGAGAAGCTTTTCAATCTGAACAAGACTTCGCTTTTCAGAATTTGGAGGGTATCAAGAGGAAAATAATGAAGTGTTATTAGAAGCAGTAGAAACTAGCAGTGATAACTCAGAAAATGTGACTGAATAGACAACATCTAAATAAAAATTTTATGCAGCAATTCTTGTTTTGTCCTGTGTTTTCTAAAAAACATGAATATGTATAGGAATCTTGTTTTCAGATTTATATTTTGCCATCTTGTTAACTTGACAAAATTAAAAAAATCTAGTTTCTTAAGATCTCCACAGCTTATAGTTCTATTTAAAATATGTTTAATTAAATTGAATCAGTAAATGTAATTACTCTGTTGTCTGGCTAAATTAGAGCTTTATATTTAATATGTATACTAAGTGTAATCATACAAGTAAACTAGAGTATACCAAATCAAGTTTATGTTATTAAAGCAACAAGCTAAACTTAGATCAGTGGAGTATGAAAATGAATATTGCATAAATTTAAGTTTTCCCCAACTTTCCATTTTTCTGGAAAAAAATGGAAAAATACACCTCCTGCCCTGGCCCCATGGTACCAACATTTCTAGAACATTTGCACCTCTAAAAGTGTTCAACATTTATTTCTCTGGAATCTGTCCTAAGTCGATTCCTTTGTCCTTGAATGTCTGCTGTGGATTGCAGAAAAGTTTGGAACAGATTCAGATATGCAGGTGATAGTGACAGAAAAACCTCAGGGCTGTGCAGAGACTAAGAATGTGCTTAGTATAAATGTGGGCTGTTTGCTGCAGCTCTGGGTTGCAAAGAAAAGATTGGTACTTTTCTTGCTGCTCTTCTAATAGAGCGGTTTTTAAAAACTTCCCAGGGAACCAAGTTTTCTTAAGGCATGATTGAAAAAACGGGCCATGCCTAAGGGAGACTCCTCCCTCCCTCCATATCTGAGTAGAAAAGCTGAATAAATATAATCTACAGTAATAAAATGAAGTCTATTTTGTGTGTGTATGTGTGTGTATCCATCCATCCATCCATCACACAACAAAACTAGTTGAAAGCCTCATTAAATAAATGTTTTAGTGTTGTAGACTGAGTGGAGCATCGGCTGTCAGTTTCTGTTGCAGGAGGCACAATCGACCAGTTCCAGCTTGTTGTCTCCAAGAGGGCTGCTCACCTTCCTGTCTCGCAGACAGGTGTGGATTATCTTTTATCTCTAAGGTCAAGTCTAATTTCCAGCAATCTAAAGCAGCTTCCTTTTATGGATCGAAGAGACTATTTTAAGCGATACCCAGCAGTTCCTTGGATGCTAGAAATCTGACAGCTCAGTGATGAAACTAAATACTTTAACAAGGAAGAATGGTGATGTTCAGACAGAAATTGAATGATTAATGCAGAACCAAACAAAAAATGCTCAGAATGTTTATTTTTTAAAAATTAGATTTTTTTTTCTTTTGGCAAGGTCTTCAAAGTGAGGGTGACAAGTTGAAACTGTTTTTATGTTGGCCAACAGTGCTCTTTTATTCTTTCGGCACACAGTAATGAATGATGGGTATACCTCAAAGTCAGTTTTCATAATACCTAATATAGGAAATGAGGCTAAAACTAAATATTTTTGCAGACGAAAAGGTGGCAGCCAAAATAGCTGATTTGTTAAATTCAGAAGTTTTGCTTGGTGGATCACATAACATAGGGCTAGACTGAATAAAGTACTTAGAAATTTCAAGTACTTAGGTTGCTCTTACATTACTACTGATATTTCATTGACATATTCTGTGTTTCATTTTCTTCTCTGTTCTGTTCTTGTACACTCCAGGGCTTTAAAGAAGGAATACTTATACTAAATTTTGGGAAATAGATTTTCAAATTCAGATAGTTTTAATATTCTTTATTGTTATAAAATGGACCATGCTAGAAATGTAAAATGAAGTTGCACAAACCCACCTGCAGTGTTTTTATATTATAGAACAATAAGCTATTTATAAACAACATCTGAATGTGGTTCAGTAAATACCTACTGAAGGCAACTTACAGTTGTGTAACATGTACTGGTTTTTAAGTGAAAGGAGTTCATAGCTGGGAAAACTAATAACTTAATAATGCTTCATAGATGACAAAACGTATTTCTTGTTTTATTAGAGGAAATAAGGAATTAAGGAAATGATCTAGTTTGTATTTTAATCTTAAAGCAATCCCATTGATCTGTTTTCAGCTACTCAATGGCCAGGCTAAAGGTCTTCCCTCTTGGGCAGCTTTGTCAGTGTCATATATTGTATCTATCAGCAGAAGGAAAATAAGTTTTGAATTGTATTACAAAATTATCATAATTGTACCCAATTACTGGGTGGACATAGTAGACTAACTGTATTTTTAAATGGCTTTATAAAAATGATTTCAGAGATGTAAATCTAAGTACAATGCTTATACAGTATATAAATAATATATTTTTGTAGATAGAATGTGTACTTGTTGGAAAGCAACTTGTGGTGATCTTATTTTTAAAAGTGTTAGCAGTTCTTGAAGATCAAGATTAGAAATCCCTTCCTTCCTTTCATGTCATTTCATGTTAGATAAATGGGCCTTAGAAAATGAAAGATACTTTTTTACAAATAGAGTAAGTAAAATCCTTTTCTTTTTAATGTTTACAATAAGTGTGGTGTATTTGTCGGCCATTTGAGGTAGACTAGATCAGGAAGGTGATAACACAAGAAGACCAGAATTGTACATTATTGAGCTAGGCTAGAGTAACAGAATCTTGCAAGTCTGCTTGTGTTATACCCCCCAGAGGAGGAGCCAGCCTGAGCCTCTTCCTAATACTATCTCCTTTCCCAAGGCTTAAGGAATGCTTCTGCCCTTGTTGTTTCTGTAATGGTTTCTGAATATTCCCTTCAGGGTCATCTCTGTGGGTTTCTGCAGAAAAAAACAGTGAAATATGAAGGCTGTTTTCCCCAAAAGATTGGAATTTGATCATTCTACTAATCTAATCTGATGCTTTATCATATTCATTTCCCCTTTTCATTTTAGGAACTTGCTGTTTAACATTGCCACCAAGAGACCTATCTTTCTGCTGATGTAAGCTCATTAGATGTTTGAAGCCATGGCCAATCCTGTAGGAGAAGAACCTGTCTCCAAACCTGGAGACCTTTGCCATGAATGTGGACAATTTCACTTGTTGCCAGACAACCATCTTTATAATTTTCAAGATGAAGTAGATGATGACCTGACTTGCCACATTTGCCTTCAGCCTTTGCTCCAGCCTATGGATACACCTTGTGGACACACATACTGTTTTAAATGCCTTGAAAACTTCATGCAGGAGTACAACTTCTGTCCTATGGATCGGAAGAAGCTGTCCTTCCAGCATTGCCGAAAGTCTAGTCTGTTGGTGCGGAATCTGCTGGATAAGCTCATTGTCCTCTGTCCTTTTCAAGAAGACTGCAAACAGACTATGCAACGCTGTGAGCTTGAAGCTCACTTACAGAACAGGTGTGCATAACTTTTCATTATAGCATCAGCTATGCTTGCATGTTATTCTTTATTCTTGATGTGCTTAGTAACTTATAATTTTATTTCAGTCTTGTGCTGAATATTGTATATAATAATGACAATTCAGAGAGGAATTGGGGAATAGGAGACATTCAGAGATGGTAAAGACTCCCTGATATGTAATTCTGTGTTACCCATAATTTGTAGATTTGAACCAAACTTAGGAAGAGGCCCATTCTTCACAGAGTTATCTCTCCTTCCCCCTGTTTACTTCCTAGTGTTTTAAGCATTGTTTTATGTTAAGTTCCCAGAATCAGTGATTAATTTGAACCATAGTCCCCTTGTAAGGCAAGTAAAGTCACAAGTTTTGAATTTGGGGTAGTCTGGTTGATATAATAATAAAAAATATTAGCCAATAAAACATAAATTGTAATCCTGGTAACAGAGAAGGTAATTCAAGGCTAATTAGTAATCCACAAACCATGTTTATGCCTGCATAAGGCCTGTGTGGCTCGGCTGTATTTGTTAAAACAGCTCCTTTTATCATGCTACCCCAAAATTTTGCATTTTCAAATTAAACATTAAAATATCCATGGATGAGGAAAACTACCTTATGGCATTGGAGGTTTTTAGACAACTCTGCTGTAACCTGGAAAATAAGGTGCTTTAATTGCAAAACACAGGTGCTTTTACATCATCATCAAGTTTATTACAGCTCTAAGGCCAGATAGAGTCAAAATATCTCATATAGGTAGTCCTTGTTATCTGACCACAATAGGGACCAGAATTTAGGTTGCTAAGCGATTTGGTCATTAAGTGAATCGAAGCTGATTTTATGACCTTTTTTACAATGACCATGAAGGGAATAATGGTGGTTGTTAAGCGAATCACGTGGCTGTTAAGTGAATCACATGGTCATTAAGCGAATCCAGCTTCCCCAATGGATGTTTTTTACAAAAATTTGCTTAACAACCACATGATTCGCTTAATGACCGCTGTAAAAAAGGTCACAAATTGCTATCATGTGACTGTGGGGGGTTGTAAAGCACTTTTCCCAAGGCCATCATAACTCTGAACCATCATTAAACGAATGGTTGCTAAGCAAGGACTATCTGTAATATATAGATTCATATATATATATGAATGACAGAAAAACAGTAAATATAATAGTCTAAAATAATTAAGAATAAAATACTAAAGTAAAATAAAATACTATTACAAGAAATTCCAAACCTGGGTAATGGTGTGGTGTATTATACAGATGGTAGCACAAAACTGGGCAACTTGGGTGGACATTTTTAAGTCCTTGTCTGAAAGAAGTAACATTAAATAGAAATCACATTTCCTACCTAGAAATTTCTTCCAGATTGGATATATAAGGGTCTGTCTAGAGTCCTTATATAGGGAGCAATATAGTAGCATGTGGCTTAGAGTTTCTATTGAGCCATCACCGCATGGACACAACTGAAGGGGCATAGGAGTGCCCTTAAAATGTCCAAAAAGGACCGCTGAAGGCAGTGCATCCAGTCTGGCTAAGGTGAAGGCCGTACGAAATTTGAAAATTGTAATGGATGATAAATGGGAGGCTGCAACGAACCCTTTTGGGAGAAAATGAGAAGCATTGGGATGTAGCTCCTTGCCTAAATTTGTTTGGAGATCTGTTGCTTCTTGGCCTTTAGGCTAAGATCAAGTGTAGTATCCGGTGGTTTTACAAGCACCTACTCATGAAGACAGGCTAGCTTGCTCTGACATCAGTGGCACTGTTCTTATATCATCCAATACTTTACTATAATTTCAGCACAAAAACAGATAAAGTCTTACATCTTGTTGACAGAATCCTTTTCAGACTTCTAAGAGTTGTAAGAGGTTTGGAAAGTGTTCAAAGGTAGAACTGTGGCTTGCACCATACTGTGACATCCAGCTGTAAAGCTAGACAGGGAGGATTTCTGTAACTGCCCGAAGTTGCAGCTGATCGAGAGAAAATTACTCGTGATCTTTCCTCTTCTACCCAACCAAAGAAAAATGACTAGGTCAAACACACTTCTGTAAACATGTCATTGATTTGGGGAGTTGCTTGCCCTTTAGTCGCCTATTTAAGGCAGTAAGTTGTGTGGGCTTTGGTGTTCAATTCCTAGGATCTGTGAAGTTTAGTTTAAGCTAATATTAAAAGGCCAGAAGTTAATGTGCCTGTTTCCAAAACAGGGAGTTTGATATAAACCAATAAACAATTTTTTCATGGTGATTTATAAGCACAATGTATAATTTAAGATTTTAATTGGTTTAAAGCAATTCATCCTGGCGTTGCATGTAACAGAATATTTTGCCCAGGGATGTAGCCATTAAAACACATTCATTCTCTCCCGTATTACTGAATACAGATAAAAATAGGTTTTTACCCTGAAGTTAAACAGATTGAAATTATAGAGGTACCAGTGTGATACCAGTACTGCACAAATCTGTTTGGACAAGTTTATAGTATAGGACTTGGGTGTATATTTGCACAGTATTTATAGATACTGTATTCTTGTAACGGAGCAAGTGAATACTGTTCTAAACGACCACTGGCAGCTTTGCTGAGAAGAACGTTAGATTTTGAGTATGATAAACATTATTTTTAGAACCAAAATCATATATAATATGAATCATTCTCAAATTGCATCATTTGTAACAAATGTTTGCATATATTAAGTACTCACGTTATAATATCAAAATCAGTGTTAAAACTGTGTTCTAGAATAGATACAAAAATTCAAAATCTGGATTCTTATTTGACAAATGTATACATTATCTCTAATTAGCTAAGTATTTAATGAGTCATTGTCACTTCTTGACTGATCTAAGAATGATCTTCCTTCAACTGGTATGTAAACTTTTTGCTGTTGCAAAAGATTATATATAGAGTCAGAATATGGAGGATTGGACGCAAAGCATGGATTTGTAGTTTGGTTGCCCTTCAACTACAGTTTCTTTTATTATTCCTATAGTACTTTAAGTTACTTTTACTATTCCTATGTAGCAGTGATGGCGAACATGTTGGGCTCGTTGTGTCAAAAATTTGGAAAACTTGACTCTGCTGGCTGGGGTCACCGCCCCCCCCGAACAAAAGAGAAACAATATTCTTTGTTTTAAAAAATACAGATCAGTCACGGGTGTTGCTATGTATTATATAAAGAAGCATCAAATAATTACAGAAATGAAATACGAGTAAAGCAAACTCAGTTTCTTTGGTAACTCAAACAGGGAGAATAGTTGTTGTCAGGTGCTGTTGACTGCTGGCGTGTCACCCAAAACGTCGTGGGGTATCACCTTTGACACGTGCTCGCCATCACTGCTATATCGTTTAAACAGAAAGAGTGGGAAAGGAGTGAGAGGGAAGCCTGAATGGCTTATTGACTTTTCTGAATGGAATAAATATGATGGAAATGTCTGTGGAAGATTTTAACTCATATTTTAGTTGCAAGCAGGAATGTTGAATTCGGGTCTCAAATGAACCTTTGCGATCCAGATGTTAGTCCCTCTTCTGAAATGAGGCTCTCTTTCAGTAGAGAATGCAATCCAAACTGTTCTTGAGTGTCTTTGCTAGTATTATCTGACAATATTAAGTATATCACTGAGGGATTCTGCACAACATTTTGTATTTAAGAAGCCAAATCCAGATTACTCGTAGGGAAAAAAAAAAAAAAATTCCGACATCACACACTTACTTTATTCAAAGGAAAAAATACTTTGCTTTACAAATCATTTTGTGCTATAGTACAAATTACTGCAAGTCTGTGAAAGACACTGTTGTTGGAAACTAGGTGCTACACTAGATGATCCAACAGGGCTCTTCTCTTTACATCCCAGACAATTAACAATATTTTATAGTCCTGTTAGGTTTCGTATAAACTTAGCAGGAACTGTATGTGCTTGAGTCACTTGTATTCTGTCTGTATTACTCAACTAAAAGTTTTAAGTTTTAGAATGACTATAGTATGACATTCTGTGTAGGTACCTATTAATTTTGGAAAGAAACTGAAACTAATTAAGAAAGGATGGTTGGGGAGGGAAACTTGTATGGAAAAAATTGAATTGAGAAATTTAGGTAGGGAGTTACTGATCAAAAGCTTCTTTTTTAAAAAATATAAGCAATCCATTGCTGCTTTGTCAATTTTTAGTTTAAATGACTACAGAATTGTATAGATCTAGTCAGTTTGTTAAATTTAAATTTTTAATTTAAGCAAAGCCTAAGATACCTTGTTAGTTACCTGTTGCCTTGATTAAACACGTATTTTGTTAAATCCCCCCAAAACAAAAATATCCCTACTATGAAATTGACAACTGGACAACGTAAATGGATTCTCCATGCCCTTACTGTGGCCAAAAGACTGATATTGCAACATTGGAAAGATAAATATATGGCCCCCTTCAGTCAGTGGATTGAAGACCTGATTGCGCTTGCCACTTATGAGTGGATTGCCTATAGATGTAGACTTTGTATGGACAAGTACAAGGAAATATTGACTCATTTATACAAAATACAGTAGGTTAAAAAAAGCATAATAGTTATTAGTGTATTAGAAATACATATATAGGAATTTGAATAATATTTACATTAGAGAAGTATATATAGAACTGTAACTCTCGTAACTATTTATTACACTTTGGTTTTTTTCTGTTTTTTTTCTTTATTTTCACTTTGTTTTTAAAAAAGCACTTTTTAAGTGTTGGTTCGGATTTTTTTGAGAACGTATGTATCTGCATTACAATTATCCTTGTCTTTTTTTTTCTTTAGTTGTATTGTTTTTAAATAAATAAATAAATAAATGAAAAATATCTCTACTGATATGAGTGGAAGCTTAGTGACAGTAAAGGTCCTCATCTTGACATTCCATTGACCTGGGACAATTCATTCCAAACTAAGACACTCCTGATGTTTCTGGAAGTATTAATCTGCACTGTTATTTGTCCTTGGAAGTTTTAGAAGGAGTGTGATAGTTTGAAAAAATTATTTGGATCAAGTAAGGTAAAAATATCTCTAACCATTTGTATAGTTCATTTGAAGAAATCTGGCATACAAGAAATATCTATTCAAAAATTGTAAACTACCCATGTGCCTGGTTCGTATCTGTTACCTATCTTCCTTTCTCAGGTTCATGTATTCACTTATATATCAAAGGTAATATATATTTGAAAGACCAGTGTTTCATTAGCAACTCTTTTAATTCCTTTCTCTCTAAACTTTCTTTTGCATTTATTAATCTGATTGCTCTTCTTAATCGAGTTTTCATGGTGGAAAACATCCCTCCACCATCCAAGCTCAGACACAAACTTGTTTTGCTATCTAATGCAGATGCCCTGGCTTCAAGAAGTACAAAGCACATCTGGAAAGGAAGAGGAATCCTCAGTCCAGGATGAAGGGAGATTCTCTTTCCAGGCTGGAAGCAAAGACTGTGAAAGATCCTGAGGTATCAAATGGAGTGTCATCCTTGGTGACTGGAAGCTCAGTAGCTGCTGTCCTGTCCCCAGAGACACCAGATCCTGGGCTGGTTAACCCAGCCTTTGATGGGACTGAAGAAGGTAGGCATCTCTTAGGCTAGAGAAACTAAGGTTGATGTAGGAGTACATTGCAAACAGTGAGCAAGTTTGCAGAAATTACAGTGAGGTCTTCTGCCATCTCGTCTGTGTATAAATATCCACTGATCCGATATCCACTGATCTGAAACTGTAATTTTTATGTACAAAATTGTGTTTATCCCATAATTCCATGAGTTCTCAGAATGTGATACAGGGTTCAGAACTTACCTTTCCAAGGCATTATTTTGGGTTTTCTTCCTTTTCCCTTTTTAAGGCAATTTACTAATTCTTATGGTTGTGACAATTTGCTTGAAATTCCAAGTATATAGATGAAGTTTTTGAAATGTTAAGAATTAGAGCTGCCTGTAAAAGTTTTTATGGATATGGAGTCATTGTATAACCTTTTATTCTTCCACATGAATAGTAAAATCAGAGTAACAGATACTTATTTTAAGTTTTATTTTTAAAGGAAAAGTAAAAAAAAAAAAATCTCCATATGAATGCTGTTGCAGCTTATTTTGAATGAAAAGTAATGCCTCTACCTCCATAACTTTAGTTTAAATAAGGATATTTTAATAAACAAGAAAATAATCCTTAAAATGAGCTCTTTTGTTACCTGTATTTACTTCTCTATGTAATCACCATTTGCTACATGTGTCTCTCAATGATGGACAGGCTTCTTACAGCTGTCACAAAAGAACTCCAAACTTTATCTCTTCAACCAGGTCCTGGCAGTCCTCTTTGTTTGAGGAAAACAGATACCGACAAAGGTATTCCTTCAATTTTGGGAAAAATGGAAGTTGCATGGTGCCGAGTCTAGACTGTATGGCAGATGGAATAAGATAGTGAGATTCAAATTCTCAGTTGCCTCTTAGGTGGTTCATGAAGTGTATGACTAGTGTTGCCACGTTGCAGCAGAATTTCCTTCTTGTGATTCTGAATTTAATTGTTGTTTCAAAATTTCAAGTGTCGCAGTGTACTGCTCTGAGTTGATAGTGGTTCCAGGTTCAAAGAAATCCATGTGAATAACATCATCTGTATCCCAGAAAATTGTAACCATGAATTTTCCTCCCAGAGCTTAGGATATTTTATTTTTCCACAGATGAAGCTTTGTAATTATATTCTATGGATTGGCACTTCATTTCTGGGTCATAATGATGAGCCCATGTTTTGTCAGCTGTCACAATGCTGTGAAGAAATGCCTTCTCTTCATTCTCATTCCTTCTTTCATTCTCATAGCATGAAAACAATTGCAGGCAATTTTGAACTTTTGAAGCTTTCATCTTGCCCATCAGCATGTCAGGAATCCATCTTGCACAAACCTTCCAATATTGAAGAACATCAGTAATATGACCCACACATTCCTGTGGAATGCCAAGTTTGATGGCAGTTTCCCTTTGAGTGGTCTGTTGATTGTCCTTAATCAGTTCATGAGTCTTTCTCATGTGGAACTTATCAGTTGCTGTCATAGGTCATCTGCTTTGTTCTTGATCACACAAATCAGCTCTTCCCAGTTCACCATCTTTGCATTTTTTAGCCCAGTGATGCACAGTACTCATGTCAGTGAAGTCATCACCATAAACAGCCTGGATGTGGCAGTGAATTTCAATTGGAGGGGCTCCTTTGGCAGTTAAAAATTCAATCACAGTGCTTTGCTTAAAGCATGCTGATGAGTACTCACTGCAGGCTTCCATTTACAATAGCAATACAGCCTTTTCACACAGCAACTTCCTACCAACTGAAGTGAAAGAACAGGTGCTAAAGGACATGTCAGAGCTTTTAACATACACATCCTGCCATCTATTAGCAACATATTACATTTGAGGCATTACTTTTCATTTGATCCCCATAACTTCTATCCACGGGCAGTTGTGGCGGGTGGACTATACTTATACAATTAATACTCACTGATAAAACTAGGAGGCAAAATGCCCTCAGAAACTATAAATATATTTGGCTTCTTTTTCCATTTTATGTTTCTTTTAAGGATTTTAAGAAAAATTCTATATCAGTGGGAAATTTTGATCTGGGTGTAGCTGGGCAGAAGACAGATTAGAATTTATGGTAAATTTCTGGATGTTCTAGTAGATTTCCAAAAAACTAAAAAAAAATGCTGTAATTATTGCATAAATAAATAAATAAATGCCTTCTGTTATGGTTAAACTTGTATTAGTGGAATAGGACTGTGCAATTATGTTATTCAGTATGAAAATTGTGCGTTGTAATTTTCATCTGTAATAACAAAAGCGCATACTTTTACTTGCATATTGTTGGTTCAGAGGTATGGTTGAAAGTAATTTGCTTTACCAAAGCAGATTTCAGAAACCTGAAGTCAAGCTATTCCAGGAGTACTTAATAGCTTCTAGCACAAGGAAGAACAGTTTTTGTCCCTCCAGATACGAAATTCCACCTTCAACAAGTTGGAGATTACAGGACCAATGGTGACAAAGGATGGGATGGTTTCAGGTTGCTCACATTTGCTGCAGAATTTTAAAAATTAAATTAAAAATTAAACTTCATCTTCACTCATGCACTATCTGACTTCTCTCTATCAGATTTACCTCAAAGAGCTAGTCTTTTGGCAGAGACAAATACAATTGAAATCCACCGAGAAGATCCTGAGGAAGAGTTTGGTATGCGTATAGTTGGTGGCAAAGATACGCCTCTTGGTAACATCGTTGTGCAGGAGGTATTTCCGGATTCAGTTGTGGCTGCAGATGGAAAAATAACACCTGGAGACCATATCCTAGAGGTAGGTTTGCTAAAATTACCAGTGGATAATTGGCTGTAGCAAATTTTAGTCAGAGTTAAAAGCTCGTGTGATCATCGGACTTGACCTTTGGAAGATGGTAAAGCAAGGAGAAGTGGTAGAAGTGGAAGACATAAAATAGATATAGAAGTAGGAGGTGTGGAAGCTGTGCAGTGCCTCGCTAAGCCTGGTGAATGAACAACAGGGTATTAACAAGCTGATAGGTTCTGTAACTTTTCTGTTTTACTTTTCCTGATTTTTATGAAAGAAGGCTTTTTTATTTTGATTAGGGCTTTTTGTGACCTTCCCTGATGATGAACTGCTCCTGCCTTCCATGAATGAACATTGCTACAACCAGTATATTTAATATCTCAGAATAATCCTATTTTATTTGCCCTTATTTAAGCAAGTCAGTGCAAATTCCTGAAGAAATCAAATGCTGCTTTGTAGGATTTCCTTCCTACAGTGCTTACATTCTTTCATTTTCTTTTTCCATAGTATAGAAAGAAGGGAAGGGTATTGTGGTAGAAGGACCTTTGGGAAACCATATTCTGATCAGCAATTGTTTCTGTCCTTCTTTAAGGTGAATGGTGTGAACATCAGCAGTGTGACCCACTGCCAAGCTATCGCACTCCTGCGCCAACCCTGTGATGTGCTCCACCTCCTGGTGCTCCAAGAGAAAGGATTTACCAGCAGAACAGGGCAATTTGATTCCAGCCCTGTGGTAAACCAGGAAGTGATCCATGTTATCCTCGTAAAAAGAGACCGATCTGAACCCCTTGGCATTAAACTGATCAGAAAAACAGATGAACCTGGGATCTTTATTCTGGACTTGTTAGATGGAGGGTTGGCAGCCAAAAATGGGAAGTTGCGTCAGAATGATAAAGTCCTTTCTATAAATGGTCAGGATCTTCGTCAAGGAACGCCTGAAGCAGCTGCACAGATAATCCAGGTAACTTTGACATACAGCAATCTGGAGTATGATAGTTCAATCCAGAGAAGCTTTGGTCATCTGAAGCCACTGCAGGTTGAGAGACAGACAGTTGATCCATATCCCGTAGCGTTGTTTATTTTGGATTGCAGCAGCTGTCCAGAGAGAAGTAATCTGAGGTCTTTCTATGGAAAGTACTAGTGACTGAACTTGGCTCCTTCTGCATTCCGAGCTGGTGTGCCAGTGAGGAGACATGGCCTCTCCCCAAAATGAGGAGCCACTGACTGTAATCAAGTCAGATAATTGCCTTGCACGTCTTCATTTTCCTGTCAGTTCAGAAACAGATGGATCAAAGCATGTTGTAGACTGGGGTTGGGCTTTTTTTCATTTTTGTTTTTTGATTTTGGCACAGAATACTTGGAATATGTCCTACTTGTGCACCAAGGTCTCACAGCTTCCAAACATTTTTTTTAAAATGCGGTTAAGCGTTTTTTCAAATGCTGCCTAAATAATAGAGCCTTGACATGATTTAAATTTCAGCCGCAAAATTGGAAGGATGTATGGTAAGAAATAAGAAGAGAAAGGGGTAATCAGTTAAATTTGTAAGATAGATTGGGGAAAATAAGCGTGTTGCTTTGTGAATTCATGGAGATGGTGGGGAGTTTGAGTCATAAGCTTTGTCAGGTAGTCTCTGTGATTCTCTGCCATCGCATTACCTACAGATAAGCAGGCAGCCCATTCAAAAATGACCATTTTGGATTCCTCTTATCTTTAATTCCATTTTTTTGCACTTTAGTACAAAGCACCCCTGAACTGGCATGGTATGGTTTTTACAAAGCTTGGGGTCATATTGCAAGCTAGTTCTTCTTAGGATATGTCCATCCTGGACTGAGGGAGATTCTGATACGTTTCGCTGTTTTTATTCATTGCACATAAATGTTTCTGTGATTGCATGTCTGTGTGTGTGTGGTCTATATGTTATAAATGTCTGCCATTTTCAGCTGATACTCCAAAATCATAATATGATGCCATTTTTCAGCAACTAGCTCGGAAGGTTGGCTATTTGTCTCCTGCACAGCAGAGAAGATGAAGCCTTCTCTATCTATAATTATATAATAGCTCTTGGTGTTTTTTCTACTCTGACCTTTCCATTCCACACAATTTTGTACCTGTGTGGGCTTCTTTTCCTTTCCTTTTCTCTTCTCAATTCTTTTTGCTGCTGTGATATTTTCTTATGATTTATTTTGACCATGAAGGATTTTCCATCAGGTCTACTAAGGTTTATAGGCATGCAATCTATTAATTTTATAGACTGTTTCACTGTCTTGGATTGAAAAATATAGAGAAGGCATGTTGCTGTCATATGTTGTTCATTTAAACTGATAATAAAATAATTATTGGTAAAATAGGAAAAAATTGGGCCATGCCAGATTTTATGGAGTAAGGATTGTGAGCAAATGTGAAGAAACACACATATAATAGAAACACAAAGCAAAGGGTTAGAGCAAATATTTATGCACTGAGCAGTTTATTTATTTATTAAATTTATATAGCTGCCCATCTCATGCTTGTGACTCTGGGCGGTACACACAGTTAAAAAGAAAAAAACAATTAAAATAATTAAAAGCCATTCAAATGCAATTAAAAACAGTTAAAACTATAATAACTAAAAATATGGGAGAGTGCCATACACCCAATACAACCATTTAACGGGCTCCACACTTCCATGGGATCCCCAAGCCTGATGAGTTTTAAGAGCCTTCTGGAAGGCCAATGAGGTTGGGCCAATTTCATCTCGGGGGGGGGGAATGATGTTCCAAAGGGAGGGTGCCACAGCAGAGAAGGCTCTCCTCCTGGGTCCTGCCCAAAAACGTTCCTTGGCTGATGGGACCCACAACATGCCCCTCCTGATCTGATTGGATGAGTTGATGCAACTGGGGAGAGGCGGTCTTTGAGATAACCGGGCCCCATGCCATGTAGGGCTTTATAGGTCACCACCAGCACCTTGAATTGAACCCAGAAGGAAACTGACAACCAGTGCAGGTTACAGAGCAGAGGTGTAACATGTGCCATTCTAGAAGCACACAAAACTGCCTGCACCTCTGCATTTTGCACCAGCTGAAACTTCTGGATACTCTTCAAGGGCTGCCCCATGTAGAGCGCATGACCTCCATTGCTCCAACCTCCATTTGGGAGGTTACCAGGGCATGAGTGACTGACAGTATCAGTCACCTCAGTATTAAAAATAAAAAAAATAAAAGTATAATAAATATTCTATTAATACTTTTCTGAATTTAAGACTGACTGGAAAGCCTAAGAGCATACTTTGTAAAGCACTTCAGTACAGTATAATATATATATGCAGGAATGCTGTCCAGCAAAATTCCTATTGCAAGATTTCTCTTCATGTGATGACGGAATGAAATAGCTTTGCATCTGAAATTTTAAGCTGAAAATTCTTGCCTGACTTGCACAGAATCCTACTGGAAGACTTTTGTAGATTGTATTAGAAGTTGCCCGCATGACTTAAGTGACCTCTTGAGTTAACAATAGAAAAACACCACATAGCTGTATCTTTTTTATTTTTAAAATTCCAATTCACTGAAGTTTTGAATGAATGTATGATTGCTTATGTGAAACCAGTTGCTTATTTGTTTGGATGCTATTGATAAACAGCATAGGAAGAAAAGATGCATTGTTTCTAAGGAATTGCATTTGGTGATCAAGATAATGGGTAATTAATCCCCTGTCTCTCTAACAATACCAAGAGAAACTCTGTTGACAGTCTGGTATGCAAGTTATGCTGACTCCTATTTTATTGTGTAAACCATAATTGGTGGGATATACAAACACTAAGTCTTATACAGTGGTTTACAAATCATAATGACTGGATTGTATTGATGTAAACAAACAACACTATGCTGCAGTGTGATGTATCAACAGGTTTTAGAATAATTGTATTAGTAAATGAGCATTGAGCGTAGGCCCCAGTTAACTTGAGCTGGGTTAAGAGTCGATCCAAGACTTTGCACTAACATTTCAAGGTTATGCATCATAAAGGTGCAGTTTTCCATTCTGACTGTATTTGGTTTTTCTAGGTGTGTACAGAAATCTTTACCCTTCCTGTTATGAGAGAGGTTTTTTTTTTGGGGGGGGGACAGGAATTCCTTCTTGGCCTTTTTCATGCAGATTGCATGTCCTGTCACTAAATTTTGGATCCAAAGCTTTTGTATGCCACTAAACAGAAACTGCTGCTGTTTTGTAACTTGCGTATGTCGTAATGACCAGACTGTCAACAGTTTCTCTTGGTATTGTTAGAGAGACAGGGGATTAGTTACCTATTATCTTGATCACCAAATGGAATTCCTTAGACACAATGCATCTTTTCTTCCCATGCTATTTATCAATAGCATCCAAAAAAATATACTGATTGTCGTAACAGCTAGTTGTTCACTAAGTTACTACTTTTATTTCAGTTATTTTAGGTCTCTGTGTTTCTATATATATCTGATGCACACATTTGATGTATATTGAATTCTTTGTGTCTAAGGCTGACATAAAGATACTTCAGTTTTAAAAAATGAAATATGCATTTAAAACGAACACTTAATGGAAGCATACATCTAATTTTTCCAGAGACCCAAGAGGCTCCTTGAAAGCCTGTGATTATATGAACTCGGGTGCTAAAGATGTTGGAATATTTCTCTTCTAAGCTTCTCCTTTTTTGTGACTTCTCCTGACAGAGCAGTGAAGCCCGGGTCAGCTTTGTGGTCCTCCGCCAGTCTGGCATGCAACTCTCGGAGGCTGGCGAGGATGGCAGTGCCTCCAACGCCAGCAGCAGCAGCAATGGGGAAAGCCCCGTGCACAATCACAGGAGACCCGAACACAATCACTACCGGCGAAAATCCAACTATCAGAAGGTATTGATTGTTAGTCAGTTTTGGTTTGGACATCGACTTGCTTTCTTCGCTACTGGAGCAAAGATTGTTGTGAAAATAGCATCAAAACGTATCTGAAGAAACTATATGACATAATTGGTTAAAGATCTTTATATGGAAGTATTTTTAACCCACAATGTTAATATGAACACATTACTATCTGCTAAATGTCAAGAGGTCTGGTTAGTTCCAGGATGTAAAAAGTACCTTCAAGGAGGGGGGAAGAATGTAAGCCCCCAGAGCCACACACACCCTTCAAAAACCTTAAGCCCAGAACCTCAGAAACTGTTCCTAGTTTGTAACTTTTAAAATGTGACTGGAGTGGGATTATTAAATACATTGTGCGAGAGTAATTATATTAGCTATATTTAATGTAAACAGAAATGAAATGAGATGAAATTTAATGTTCATCTTGGCTCTGCTTTCTCTTTTCGGAGTGCAGCCTTTGATCATGGGCCACTCTCAGCCTGGCAAAGGGGTGTGCCATTCTGGGGAACAGCTAGGAACTTAGGAGTTGCCCAGTGTAGGAAACTGATAACAGTAGGTAAGAGAAGAACACATGATGGGGAGCTAGTAATAGTGACTTGATGGCTCTAATTTTGTTTTAAATTGACTTCACAACATTTCTCCCTTGCCACTTACAAGGGCCCACATGGAGGCTTCTGGGTAAAAACACAAGAATGCAGTGAAAATGGTATAAAGTGCCCAGTCATTAAAATAGCAGAGAAGATTAAAAGTAAGTAAAGGCAGAGTAGAATGAGGGGGAAAAAAAGAGGAGGAGGGTGTTAACTGAACCTGTGTGGGTTTGGGGAAAAGAATTCAACAGTAGAAGTGCTGTTTGTGGAGAGGCCTGTTCTGGTGTCATCATCAAGGTCTGCTTCAGGTTGAGGAACTCTGATTTCACAGGATGGAATTAGGTAAAGGCGGGCTGACACGGAGCAAGCAAGAGTCCAAAATCCATTGCAGCTGCCTCCTGGAAAAGAATCACATGACTAATGAACTTTCCATACTCTGTTATTCCCATACAGATGATCCTGTAGGGACATTTTCCATCTTACCTTTATTGAGAGTTTATCTTAAATCTGCATTGAGTAGTTATTAATACGTGCCTGCTTGAAGTGTGAATAAAAATGTTTCACTGCAAACATGGTGTACATTACAGAAATAGTTTAGGCAACCGGTGCTCCGTACAAAAGCATAGATGTACTTTTTGAAATCATTTTCAACAGCTGCACTTAATTATATTCAGGAACATTCTGCAAGCAAGCTTGTTTTCTGCAAAAATGAGCCGACATGTTTTCTACCAGGGATGCCTTTCTGACTCACTTCCTGTTCACCTTCAAGTTCAGGAAAGAAGCTGACTCTTTAGCCCTTTAATGAAAATTAGGCATGTAGTTAAGACATGAGAGAGAATACACAAGAATTGAGAGGGTGTCAGGTGTAACATTTGCACATGATAAATGTGTTTTGAATACGTAGTTTTTCTCATTCATGATAACTGAAGTTAAGGGGGAGATGGTATTTGCAGAAGAGAATCAGAGGTGGGTACCCTTTTACCTGAATGTTTTTGGAGAGACGTTTGGAAAAACAGACTCATGGGGTGGTGGTGGAGGAGGTTGAACAGGAACCACCCAGAATGGACATTTAGCCTACTACCTAGGAATTCAAACCTGAAAAATGGTTTTTCGACTCTGTCACAGATTAAATAATTCTGTGTTTCATTTAAATGTGCCTCTTTTTTCCTTTCTCCAAAACAAACATTTTAGAATTTCTCATGAGAAATGTCTTCTAATGTTTTTAATCCCTGTGTATCTCCTCTGGATGTTTCCATGGATTCATCCAGTGTTTCTCACCCTTGGCCACTCGAAGATGGGTGGACTTCAACTCCCAGAATTCCCCAGCCAGCCATGCTGGCTGGGGAATT